ATTCCTCAGCACCACATAAGCAAAAAGAAAAAAGCCAGAAGTGGCGCTGTGGCTCAAGTGGTAGAGCGCTAGCCTTGAGCTGAAGAGCTGAAGGATAGCACCCAGGCCCAGAGTTCAGGCCCCATGACTAGACCCCCCCAAAAAAAAGGGTATTTTCTACAGTCCAATAAGGAAACCCATTATAAGGCTACAATAGTTATATACTAAAGCAATACCTAATTACATGCTTTCCATAGTCCCATGAACAAATAATTGCTCCTAATCCCTGATGCAAGGCACTTGAAAGCACTTGCACAAAATGTCCATGTAAAGAGCAGTACAGTGCACCACTTAAATAACATGAATGTCCTGTATACAGTTTGTCCTAGGCTTAAGGGAAAATAAAATCCATGATCACAATAGCTAAAAGACCTGTTACGGTTCACAACAATCAGTCTCTCATTATAAATATAAGAACAGGCTCTAGAACCTTCTGCAGATGACATAAAAACCTCACAGACATTTCATTCTGCCAAACCAACATGCTCTCTGGGTTAAAGAAAAGTACTTTCTTGGTTTACAGTCTGACTAGTCAAGAGTGATGGGCTGGGATGTAGCTCAGTGGCAAAGCGCTTGCCTAGAAAGTGCAACGTCCTGGGTTCGATCCCCAGTACCAAAAAAGAAAAGACAAAAAAAAAAGGTGACTAGGAGTGGCTGTGCATGGTAATTTCTGTAAGCCCAAATTTAATATCCACCAGGCCAAAGGTCTGGACCATTTGTAGCACCACAGAAAATGCTTTAGAAAATCATACAGGTACAGAATTCAAATAAAAGAGCAAGTAGTGAATAGAATTGATGATTTTATACACCCTAAAATGACTAATCAGCAAAATAAGAATCAAGAAGATGGAGAAAGTAAGTCACAAAAACAAGCACAAATATATTCTTTAATAGCTATGTTAGGTTGGTTTAGCTACTATAAAAATAACCTGGACCAAATCTAGCATCTCAAAAAGATTTTTACAAATTCCAATAAAAACATGAGGGGATTTTCAGGCAGCCTATCAAAAATAAGCATGTGGGCTGGGAAGATGGCTCAGTGGTAGAACGCTTGCCTCTCATGCTTGAGGCCCGGGTTCGATTCCTCAGTACCACATGAGCAGAAAAAGCCAGAAGTGGCGCTATGGCTTAAGTGGTAGAGCGCTAGCCTTGAGCTGAAGAGCTGAGGGACAGCGCCCAGGCCTAGAGTTCAGGCCCCACGACCCGACCCAAAAAAAAAGAAAATCACATTTTATGCTTGCATCTCAAAAATAAGCATGTGTGTCTGTATGGAGTTATAGTGTCCTACTGCTTAATTGACAATGTATAATTATTCCGCTTCCTCTTCTTTATTTTTTATTTTTACAATTTTTTTAATTGTTGAGATCTTCTACAGAGGGGTGACAGTTACATGAGTGAGGCAATGAGTACATTACTTGTCAGTCGTTGTTACCCCTTCCCTTCCTTGTTGTTGTCCCACTATCCCTTCCCTCCCTCAGCTTCCTCTTAAAACAATGTAGATCTCTCACTGCAGCTAGCAACCCATCATAAATTTATATACTCAAGGGTATATTTCTATCTTCAAAAGCTTATTTTTCAGTACTTACATACAAATGGCAACCATCACTACTTTTCCTGGTCCCTTAAGAAACACTGATGTTGTTCTGGAACGTGGCTATAAAATAAACAAAGGAAACTTATAAAATCTTTCAGTGAACCACTGACACATAAGAACATATCTCCTCTCAAAACTTCTGAACACACTTAGGCACCAGTGGCTCATGCCTATAATCCTAGCTACTTAGGAGGATAACATCTGAGGATCACAGTTTGAAACCAGCCCAGGCAGAAAAGTCCCTCATAAGACTCTTATTTATCTCCAATTAACCACTCAAAAACTGGAAGTGACACTCCGGCTTAAGTGATAGAATGCTAGCCTTATGCAAAAAAGAAGCTCAAGGATAGAGTCAAGGCCCTGAGTTCAAGCCCCACAACTGACAAAAACAAAAACAAAACCAAAAAACACAAATCAACAAAAAAACAACTTCTGAGCAAACGGCTTACTTATTTCATTTTCTCCAGTATTTCCTTTCTCAAAAGCAAGCAGATAAATTAAAAAATGCATCCTGATACTCCTCAAAGCCTTGTTTCCTTGTAATTCATGTGCTGCTTGCTTCCCAAAAGGATCTGAGTTAGTAACACAGAAACTAGTAGTGAGTAGAAAAAACACTGAACTCAAATGTATGCATTACAATTTTCTGTACCTTGAGCTGTATCTTTTTTTCTCTCTCCCAGTCCCTCCCCCATCCCATCTCCACCCACAAGCTGTATGGTTCACTTTCATTGGTGAGCTACATCTTGAACTATATCTTAACAGTTAAAAAAGGAACAGCTAATTTAACCCCTGACTGTGCTCTCAAGACAAATACCTCACATGAAAATAGTTGATTCTAGAGAAAACAAGTGGAGAAACATTAAAGAAAAGTACTTTCTTGAAAGATTTTCTTTTGCTTCTGGATGTATACCTCCTAGTTTATTTCTTATAGTTTTCACCTCCTTGAAATACTATCATAGTCTACTGTAAAATAACTTTTATCCATTCTTTCATAATCACTCTGATAAAGACTATAGAAAACAAGATATGTTGGCATTAACTGGATCAGAAATCATGGCAAGCCCCACAAAAATGTAGGAAGAGAAAGACTGGAAAAATGAGGCTCTACTACCTGCAGTAAGCACTTTCAGTGCAACGCTGAGGTGCCAGAAAAACAAGAGAACACGAGAAGCAATTTGTAAAAACTAACCAAGATTCCATAATAAATGCAGTTAGAGAACTGAGCTCTTCACAGATCATAGTGGCAAATGCTGACAATTACAGAAACCAAATATCCAATATCTACTTTTGTATATATCTGAAAATTTTTAACAATTTAAAAAGTTCTTTAATTTTGAGGCAAGTATAGAACAATTATAGATCCAGCTATTAAGCAGATAAGTGTATTAAGCAATGATAGAGATTAGTAAAGGTTTTCTACTAAGAAAGTCATAGAATTAGGGTCCTGAGAGGAGGCATAAGACAATAGACACATTAAAGGAGTGAGTATTAAAGAGATAATATAAATTAGGTTATCAGAAGGAGCTATTGTTCGGATGAGAGAATGCATTTGGGTAAAACCAGACATAGTGATTTCACATCTCTCACTTTTGTAGTTCTTGTGAGACAAAGAACAACCTAATAGAAAGAGAAGTGTCTCAGCTAGAAATTTTAAAAGATGACACTTAGTTCCAGCAAACAGGACTATTTCTGAATGCTGGAGAAAGAACCACCACTACCTTCAGTGGGAGGATTAGCAGTTCTAAAGGAACAGGGTAACAATACTGGGAAATGAAATACAGGTTTAAACAAGTACCATATAAACAAAAGGGGGGGACTAGAAAGAAAAATAGCCAAAGAAATTTAAATTATGTAAATTCAACCACACCAAAAGATTCTATAGAAAACCTGACATATTCAAAAGCAAAGAGTGACCAGTCTTGAGAAAGCCTTAGGTTTTAGAGTTGGTAACAGTCAGTTCTGTGACATGGTGGGACGAAAGCCCACCTGGACTGGGCTCAGGGGAGAAGAGGGAGGATAACAAATTTGTTACACTTTTTTCAATCTTAATTTCTTCCAAGAGAAGAAAAAGTACACTATTTTGACACATGTGGATAAAGGTCAACAAAGCTGGTGATGAAAACAGGAGGAACATTTATCAGGTATTCTTTGACTTATATGATGGTAATAGGTCCTGGTAAAGGCATCCCAACTTTAAAATACTGTAAGTTGAAAATGCATTTAACATTTAACCTACTGGCAAATATCACAGCTTGGCCTAGCCTACCTTAAATGTATTCAGAATATTTGGGTCAGCCTACAGTTAGACAAAATCATCCAACATAAAGCCAATTACATAAGAAAGTGTTAAATGTGAGAGGAGTTGGGGAGGTGGGAAGGGAAGGGATGGTAGGGGAAAAACAAAGGAGTAGGTAACAATGCTCCATAGGAAATGTACTCATTACCTTACTCATGTAACTATAACCCCTCTGTACAGTTTCTTTACAATAAAAGTATTTATTAAAAAACAAAGTGTTAAATATGTCAAATAATAATTTACAGAAAACTGAAGTTAAAAACAAAATGGCTAGATGGATATGCTTCCATACTATCATAAGGTCAATAATTGCAAATTGGGTCATTTTGAGTCAGGCACATCTGTTTATCTATTTTTTTCTCAATATAGTGTGAAGCTAATAAAAGCAGAAGGGTAGATAGTGAGATGGTAGACATTTGGGAAAAAAGGAAAGGTAGGCAATAGCTTAACTCAGTAAAAGAGTTTAGTGGTATGGTAAAATAATATTAAGAACCTGCTGATTTTTGTATAGTCACATAATGGAGAAGTATCAAACTGGCTGTGGAATTTTCTCCTTCAAGAGCTATACTTCTGCAGTGAAAATAGGAACCGATAGTCAGAATGTTTGACCAGAGTTCAGAGTAGAAGTGAAGACAAAGACAATCAACATGCACATGAGAGATAAAAAATACTTGCTAATAGTCTCCTCTCTATCTACAGGCTGAAGAATATGAGAATAGAGAATAGAAGAAATAGAAAAAATGTGGCTCATGCCTGTAATCCTAGCTACTCAGGAGGCTGAGATCTGAGGATCACAGTTAAAAACCAGCCTGGCACAAAAGTCAGTGAGACTCTTATCTCCAATAAACCACCAGAAAACTGGAAGTGGCACTGTGCCACAAGTGGTAGAGCACTTGCTTTGAGCTGAAGAGCTAAGGGACAATATTCAGGCCCAGAGTTCAAGCCCCATGACTGACCAAAAAAAAAAAAAAAATAGAAAAAAATGTTCAAAGTTGACTTTTTAATTTCAAGAAAATCAGCCAAGAATGAATACACAGTAATTCTACTAATTACAACTCAAAATCTTGAATTAACATGCTAGGATTTCATAATGGATTGATGTTAGGATTTTGTTGGTCAACACACATAAGCATTATTAGAAAGATATCCTTACCTTAGTGTTTCCCAAGAAATCTCTATATTCTTTTAATATTTTTTGGTTTCTAAACAGCCCTATAGAAATTAGAAAATAAATTTAAGTCACATTCATGCCCATTTAAATTAATACAATTATTCTTTGCACTCCGTGGGTTTGAACTCAAGGTCTAGAAAGTATTCGATAAGATAGGGTATCACTTTTTTTTTTTCCTAAGCTAGCCTCAGCCCATAATCTTCCTACCTATACCTCCCTCACTTGTGGAGGTTACTGATGTGAACCACTTTGACTCGTTTATTTGTTGAGATGGGCCTTACCTGTTTTCCTGGGATGGCCTCATACCTTGGCACCATGATCCTCCCAATCTGTCACCCAAGTAGCTGGGATGACAGGCACAAGCAACAATGCCTGGTCCAAAACCATTCTCTTTGAGATTGTGTTAAATATGTTCAGCCAGGAAAAATACCAAAGTACTATAAGAAATCTGGATTTGTAACCTGACTAAAAATTGGGTGAAAAACTTAGATAAACATTTCTCAAAGATGATATACAAAGCTCACATGGTAGAACACTAGCTTGGCAAAGAAAAGGCCCTGAATTCAAGCCCCAGTGCCACCAAAAAAAAAAAAAAAAAAACATGATAAACAGCCTATAATCCTATGGAAAGATACTTAGCATCTAAAAATACAAATGAAAACAACAGCGAGATACCACCTTACACCCATCAAGTTAGCTACTGTTTAAAACACACACACAGAGACAGACAGACAGACAGGCAGACACACACACACACACACACACACACACACACACACACACACACACACACA